TGAGGTAAGTAAATTATGGTAAAGCCCTCTGATTTTAAAGCATGTTTTAAACTGTTTTTGAGATGGTGGCAAGCTTTAAATTGATTTTATCCGCATCTGAATGTGATTAAACTGAAATGGAAATTGTGACGGTTTTTATGAGAATTTCCTTGTTTTTCTGAAATTGAGCATGATTGGAAAGAAAATGAGGATTTTATTGATTTTCTGGAAATGAGCATGATTGAGAAATGAAAATGGAAATTTCATTATTTTCGGGAATTGAGCATGATTGGAATGAAATTGTTTTCATTTCATTGAGTAGAGCATGCCTATTTGGGAATTGACGAAACTGTTTTGATGAACTGAGAGTTTGCAAATTCTGAGTTTCCTGTTAAATCCATGGTCACATGGAAATTTTCTGGTTTGTTTCTGAGATTTGAGATTGATTGTGAATTATGGATTTTTGGAAATCCTACATGGTTTTGTCTCGGATATAGTCATGATTACTGACGCTCGCTAGTGGGAGCTGTAAACGCTAGCACATGTCGACATGTATTTCTGTAGAACCGGTTCACCCTGCCTATGGGGTTAAACACTGGCACCATTACTGACGCCTGCCAGTGGGAGTGTGTAAACACTGGCACCATTACTGACGCCTGCCAGTGGGAGTGTGTAAACACTGGCACTATTACTGACGCCTGCCAGTGGGAGTGTGTAAACACTGGCACTATTACTGACGCCTGCCAGTGGGAGTGTGTAAACACTGGCACCATTACTGACGCCTGCCAGTGGGAGTGTGTAAACACTGGCACCATTACTGACGCCTGCCAGTGGGAGTTTGTAAACACTGGCCATGACTTATGGATGAGACTACTGAACTGAGTTTTATTCCGCATGAACGGTTTGTCATGAAAGCTTTGTTATGCTTATATGGTTTACTTGGCATGCTTAAAAGTTTTACCCAAGGGCTATCCATATTTACTTACTGAGTTATCTCATAGTTTTCCTTGTCCACCATTTCAGGAAACGAAACTGAGGACGGGGAAATCGAGGGGAGTGACGAGTTAGAAGGCTAACCATTCAATTGGGGTATAAGTTTTAGATTCTATCATCCTTTTGTAAGGTTGATTTTATTCATGAGATTTTGTGATTTGGATAAGTTTTGAGCCTTGTGCATTCGTGGGACCCGTCTCACGAGTGCACGGCGTCTGTCGCGCCTCGAGATCGGGTTTTGGTTCGTGACACCCAGCCTTTTAACAGTTTCATGGCATTAGGGTCCTCCAAACACGAAGACAAGGGTACTAGACTACTGGCAAGAAAGGTCAGCACAAGTTTGAGGGCTTGTTCATACCATAAATTGCAAAAATTTAAGATCATGCCACATGTCAAATATTTTTAAATGGATGGAGGAGATTTTGCCATATCAAATATGTAATTCTGGGTCCATAATAGATTAATTGCCACATTAGATGAAAGGAGTTAAAAATATAAGGTTTTATCTTTTAATTACCTTATTTAGTTAAATTAGGTCTATTTTGGCTGAAATATAGGAGAACATTTCAGTTATGTGTATGGGTTATGAGATAATGGGATAGATCATGAAATCTGGAAGGTAATCTGACCCTATCAATTGCTGAGATGTCCCACTTTATTAAGAAAAACTGCCCACAATTTGGTAACTACAGAAAATGGGGAGCTATAGCTGAAAAAAGGAGAATAAAAGAGAAGTTTTGGAAGAGAAAACACACGGTTAGCCCTACTCAAACACTTGTAAATTTTTAGACTTTCATTTTCTCTACAATTGCTTCTAGATTTCAGATTTTAGTACAATTTCTAGTAGATCTAGGTTGTTTTTCATCATTCCAGTAGACCAATTAATTCATGTATTTGCTTCAACAATGTTGTTTTATGCAATGAACTTTAATCTTTTAAATTTCTTCAAGGTACTGTTCCTTTTCTGTCTGCAATTAATTTAGTGTTTATGATAAATAGCATTTCTTCAATGATTACTTATATGGCGTCCACACTTTTTCTCAAATTCAAGTATGTCAGTTTAATTCCTGTTCATGTTTGTTTTAGTTTTAATTAGGGTAAAATCTCCAATTCTACAGTAGTTTAATTTTTAAATCTGTCAGTAGAGAGCATTAACAGTGAACATGTTTAATTTATTTTGGGTACATCTTGTTTTCATAAATTTACTTTAAATTGCATGTTATTTAGTTTAATTAAGATTTGTTAACTTTAATTCACAGTAGTGTTTAAGTCCTTGGAGTTGTCCAAGGCAGATTTCGTAACCCATTCTACAGAAAGGCATCCTTCCCTCTTGCAAATCATCTATAGGTGCATATTTGAATTTTAATCCAATGTTCTTCCCACCATCTGCAAGGAGGTTGACCGTGAGGAAAGAGAGAGTCGTTGGGAAAATCCTCCTTTCTTACTTTCAGCAAAGTAAGTGGTACGTCTGCATCCAGACTTCGCATGTGCGAGGCCATTAGAGGATTTTTGAAGAAACAGGGCTAAATACAATTCCATCTGTCAAGAGAAGATGCAGGTGCTGATATGTTTCATGATGTTTTTATTTTTAACCCTCTCTTTTATTTTTATTTTTTTCAATTTAAATAATAAAATTGTCTATGATTAATTTTGTTTAAAAAGATTCATTATGCAGTGTTGAATAAAAGAAAATATTTGAGACAGAGAATTCAACACAACCCATTAGTTAATTGTGAGCATTAGGCGATTTCATAGAAATAAGCACAATAAAATAATGAAATTGATCTAATATATTTCAAAGCTCTAGGGTAAGACATATCTAGAAAACTATGGCCACACTAAAGTGGTGTCTCAAGCTGAAGTTTAGGACCATCATTAAATTGATGGTCAAAGGAACAACACTTGCAAAACAACAGTAAGCACCCACATCGAGGATACATACTATACAAGCTCAAAAGATAAGGTTTCTAAGTGATCAAAAGAAAAGCAAATGCAAGGGTCAGAAATATCAACATAATCAAACCATTGATTGAAAAGAAGAATGATAGGAACAGTGATAACCAAGCTTGTCAACCTTGCTCTTTTGAGATATGGACATGTGATTGAAATCTAGATTTCCTCAGAGGGTTAATCTCTCAAGTGCCTTGAGAGAATCCTTTTGCTATCATGCCAATGCTACTACAAGTCTGAGAAAGAAAACAACCTTACTCCAAAAGAACTCACTATGCCTTGCTACTAGAATCATTCAATTCACACATCAAGATTATAGGAAATTCAAATTCATGATGCATGACCAACAAATTTTGAAGTCAAGGATTTTAGTAAGATCATATATCCTGGCATAATCAAATGACAACTGTCATGCCTCAACCCATAGGTTTAGACATAACAAACGTCACCCATCTATAGGATAACCCCATAAATGCGTAAGCCCATCTACCTTCATATGAATATAATCTCCCTTAAAGTTTTAATGTAGCCTTGCAACTTTAAATAAACAATTCCATTAACAATTCTTAATAATAACAAGATCAAATCTCTTAACCAAAACATAAAGTGATTAACATCTTATTCCATAAAACCAAATAAGCTTCCAATTGAGCTATTGCTAAATTTTTTGCCAATTTATCCTAGCGATCTCTCAATCCTCATGCAAATCCCAATGCTCATACTTCACTTGAAATGAGATGAAAATTTGAAAACATGAGTTTAAGAACTCTGTAAGTAGTATACACATCCATCACAACCAAGCATAGAAATTTAAAATTGAATTTTTATTGAAAATAAGACGATAAAAGTACATTTTTTTCCCTCAAAACCAAAATATTTCATTTTTCATCACATATGGTTGTGTAACAATCTACAATCCATTATCAATGATACTCAATCATCAATCCACAATACACAATCCATAGTCTACAACACAGAATCCATAAATCCCGGGTCTATCACAATACTAACAACTTAATCCGCACAATGATTAATTATATAGCCAGGACAAACAAAAGAAACCATTCCAAAAATAACCATTTTAATAATATTGGAGAAAAAGAAATTTAATTACCCACCTCCACATGGGCACAATCTCATCTCAAACTTAAATAAAAATATTATGCTTTGTCCATAAATCATCTCATTCCATCATTAAAATTATTTAATAAAAATCATTCTCTAAGAAATAAATAAATAAACAAACAAATAGATAATTAAATCAAAATTGGACAAAACCCATTTAAATCTATGATTTACTTTAGAAACACGGAAGGGTAAAACTACTTGTCTCAATAATTATCTCTTCAAATGCAATTCCACACAGTCAATTGAAACCTAAAGAACATCAAATAAACATAACTTAATCACTCAATAAAAATTTGCCCAGTACTTCACAAGTATTTACATGTAGTAATTCTCTAAACCACACCCCTGATGTCCTATTCCTCAAACCCAACTATTGCTTCACAAATTCTTCTAAACTAAACACCTAAATAAATAATTCCCTTGAAAATTCCTCATACCACAACATCCAAATTTACAATTTAATATCAATTCCAAAATTCAATAGTTAAAGTAAAATCAATCTTACCAACCAGGCAATTACCCACTATCTTCATTCCTACATTCCAAAATCTTTCACCCATTTTCCCTTATGGTGTGAAATTGTCTGATAGAGGAGTCCCTAATAAGCAAATTACGACAAAAGCTTTTAAATTCCCCTCTTATCATTCTTCTAATCATTAAGATTTAAGTTTAAGAAACAAATTACCTTTGATTGATGCTCATTTAGCCTTAAAGCATGTCCCCTTGCAAGCAAGAGGAAGAAGACGTTCCTGATTCCCCAGAAAAGAAAAAAATTGGAAACTACTGACTTAAACTGTTTTGAGTTTTTCACAAAAGGAAATATTGCCACTTAGTCCTTGTGATATTTTTTCAACTTAACTAGTCCTTGAGGAATTTTTACAACTTAGTCCCTAAACTCCTCACCTCATTATAATTAAACCTCATATTTAATCCTATCACATATACACCATCTAAGAGCTTAAATAATTTATTTAAATCTCTAAAATAATGATGATGATGATAATGATAATAATAATAATAATAATAATAATAATAATAATCCCTAGTATTACAACAATTGAGAAACGGGAGTGACACACACAAACACGGTGAGGATTTAAGGACAGGTACAACGAAAACTTTTGACCTAACAAAGACAGAACAAATGTATGCACGCGTGTATTGATAAATGCATGTATGCATGAAAGCCTATGATGCACTAAAATCACCTAAGCAAGTGTACTAGTTGCTCCAAGTAATATAATGATGAGAAGAGTGCCGAACCCATGAGAATTGTGTCTAACTAAATACCAAAATAATTAATCCAAATTTATTTGGACAACCAAATGGGAAGAAAGTTTAACTAAAAAAATAATAAAAGGAAAATAACAATTAAATTAAACCTAACCAAGATATGAGGTACTAAGGCATTGACTTTACCATAATCAATCAATATAAATTCTGGATTACCAAATTGTTGAGTATTATTGCATGTGATAGTGGATTTCCCTAAATTAATTAACTAGCTTTCTCAAGTCAAGTTAATCCTTCACTTGTTTGTTAAATTAATCATATCTCTATATAATTTTAAACAAACTTATGAGCATTAAATTCTATGGAAACCTCTAGCTTAAGAAGGGGGAGCTCCTAACTCTCTTCTCTTCCTCCACTACCACATGTGAGCTAATTACCTCTCAGTCTCATAGTCTAACACACGGTTTATATTATTATTGGTCTAATCTACGCAATTCTTTCTCAAGTTCATGCATAAATCACTAAATCAATTGAAAGGTGATCAGACTTCCAATGCATTAAGTTCAATAATATAAACTCATCATGCAAATAACTTTAATTGAAAGCATAAAATCACTAAATCCATATTGAATTGATTAGGCTACATCGAAACCCTAGTAGAATAAATTAGTTCATAATAAAAATAATAAAATATGAAATAAAAGTTATGAACATTCAAATATCAAACAATAAATAAAAACCCAAGGAAAAACAAAACCCAATTTGAGGAAATCGAACTCCTTGATTTTCTATTGTTGATGGAACTTCAATCTTGATCTCCAATAATGCCCAAAAGAGGGCTGCAACTAGCCTCTCAAAACTCTGGTAATTCTGAATTTGGATGGGTATTTATAGGATTTTAAAAACTTTAATTGAAATAGAAGTAGGACTTGGAACAGAAATAGAAAACTGAATTTTGGATGCTGATCACGTGGTGCTGACACTTCAGATTACGTGTTGACACAAAATAAGAAACAGAAATTGATTCTGGACGTTTAATGCGTGGTGTCGACACCACATCCGTGTCAAGTTTTTGGCCTCCTTTTTGCAATTTCTTCAATGGTAAAAGCAGATCTGGTCCTCCAGATTTCGTACTATGAGCACTTAGATGCCAAAACTCAAGATTCATTCATTTAGGTTCCAAATGGCCGCTCTTCTTCTTACAATTCAGTCCCTTAACATTTAGAAAATATTCAATAAATCCTAAAAACTCTTATTTTATGCATTCAAATCCTTTTCTACACAAAGAATGAAAATCATGTAAAGTCTCATAAAACTTAGTAAAATCTCATAAAACTCAGTAAAATCTCATAAAACTCATCCAAATATCAATAATATCAAGACAACAATTCCACATTAATATGTATATAATTTCAACTCATCAGCCTACATACACATATATGTGTGTACAAATGAATGCCTATATGTGCATGCATGTATAAATGCCTATATATGCGCATGCTTGTATGCATGTATATGCTAATATGTGAGTACAGGTTTGTATGCATGTATGAATGCCCAAATGAATACTAGAACAGATAGATACAAGGCAGAATGCCTTAGACATTCAACCACTAAACAACATTAACCAAGAATCAAGATCATGCTTAACTAGGCAACTGGAATCAAGAGTAAGATTTAACCACGAAACAAATAGCAAGAGTCAAGAAACTAAAACTATTAAAAGACACATGACAAGAATTCAAAAATAACCTTAACAAAAATGAAAGAGCAGATATAGCTAGGATATTAAGATTAGGTATTTCAAGTAAATATAATAAATCAGTAGTTAGAATCAAGAAACATCAAAGACTAATATCTTATTAGTTAGGGAGCAAGGTAGAAATCAAAATAGGGGAAAAAGAGCCATTTCTTTGAAAACTGAACTCCAGCATACCAAGCATATTGAAGACTACCCAAATTGTTGTAAAAAATCAGAACTGTTGAGAACAAACGAGTTTGCTCTCAACTATCAATTATTCACATAACTATGGACGGTTTTGCCAATATATCTAGTAATTGTCACCCCTCATAAGGGCGTGTGCACATGAAACTCAATATCGTGAAACTCAACAAGTATAGATTTCAAGAAACAGAAAACAGTATAGGACTTGAAGTTTGAAGCAAACAAATTCTAGAGCAGATTGCAAAAATAATACAAAAACACCTCTCAAGAAGAAGTTCAACTTTAGAACTTAGAAACAAAATGCAAGATAATATCCAAATTAAATTTCAAAAGAAAATGGATTTCAAGGTAGTTCTAATACAAATTCCAAAAAGAATCTGATTGATTTCAAAAACCAAATTCAGGCAACTT